GCAGAGGTCACAAGGGAATGCTGGATGCAGCTGTACCATGGGTAATTTTGGGTGCGAGATGCAAAGAGAGAATCCCATTCAGAGAACAGAGTTTGAAAAAGACAAGGGAGCAGAATGTCACTGCTTAGGAAGCTGAAGGGATTTCCACTCTCGCCTCCTTAGGGCCCTACAGCATCCTTCATCTCCCTTCAATTCTCCTTGTTCTCCAACCCTCCCCTCAAGCTCAGAGAAAGAGAGAGAAAATAAGAAAGCAACATGAATTTATGCCAAGAAAGAAACTGCAGCTTCTCAAAAATGGAAGGCAGGGTCATCCTCCTAATATTTTGAATGTGGACTGTTCCAGAGAGCAGCAAGACATGTCAGGAATGAGATTGTTCTGAGCAGGGCCCCAGGAACACTGCCGGGCTCCACCTGGGAGATGAAAGAATTTTCTCCTTCCTTTGCCTTTTAAATGTAATTCTGTCTGCCCTCTCCACCCCGCACACCCTGTCGACCCTCTAGCTGGGAGCGGTGCAGACCTTAAGCCATTCTGGGAAAAGACAGGATCCTTTTCATTAACTTCAGCCTGATTGGAGTCCCTAGGGCCATGGCAGATTTCATTTTCCTCCCTCTCTGCCTCCCTGTCTTGGATCCCCCCCAACCCCCGACACAGCAAGGCTACCATGAGCAGTGAACTGTTTCCCAATGGGATGGAGTGGAGATAGGGTTCAAGCAGGGGAGGCAGTAGAGAAGGGTCTGGGACGTGCACTTTTCAAGGCAGTGACTTTGAGAAGGGACATGTATACTTCCTCCCCGTGCTTCAATTTCCCCTGGATTTCTGAGCAAATCTATCCCAGCTTTAGGGTAGAAATCAGCAGCCGGTTATGTCTGGTTGTCAGTGATGGACTGGACAGATATAATCTCTAGTGGAGGTTTCTGCAGAGGTGCTCGGGTTAGCAGACTCAACCAATCCCATTGTTAATTAGCAGTGTGATCTTGAAAATGTCACTTATCAGCTGCTTCTGCAAAATAAGGACTTAGTCTGGAGTTTTAAGGTATGTTTTAGTACCAAACATTGGTTTTCAACTGAAGTCGCATACAAGAACCAGGGAAAAGCAGAGCCACTCTGAGTGAAGGTAGAGACAGGCACAGTGTGGGCCCTTTGTCTACACGTTTTCTCACCCGTTTCCCGGCAGAGGTGGCTCCTGAGCCCACTGGGGACACACTGATTTTCTCCTCTTCTCCAAGGGCCTCCAACTGCCTCCCCAAGACCCTGACACTAAGAATGGAACTCTTTTGCAATATCCTGATGTAGGTGGTCTGTGATCTTTTCCTTTATTTCTAATCCACACTTGAACACCATATATTAGTGCCTGACGTTCAGCTGCTTCTCCATCCCTTGGTGTGGAATTTGTAGACTTACGGGAAGTAATCTGCTTTGAAAAGGGGAGTGCTCAAGATGCAGGGCCTATGTTTGACCCAACAGTCCATGCGTTTGGTTAGAGTGTGGTTAGAACTCAGAAAGACCAAGAAGGCAGAAGGCCAGAAAAGCCAGAAAAGCAAGGGGTCATGGCGTAATGGTGAGGAAAGACACACTGTTGTACATATTGTTTTCAGGACTCATTGTGAGGAGATGTCACAAACCTTGCCTCTGGTCGTTTCCCAGGTCAGATAACACCTTCAATGCATGCTAGTTTGTGAGTTAAACTTTCTGAATCTCCCAAGTAAAGGAATCCAGATAGAAGTTATTTGAGTTCCATCCCTGACATTATATCCCTGCATCCTCCCACACATCATCAGATGCGCTAACACATCTGAACTGGGATGGGCCCATTTAACATTTTACTGTTTCAACCAGAGCAAGGGGTGAGACCCTGATCTCTCCCTGGTGATGGATTTATTCACCATTCAGCTTCTTTCCCTTTTATACTGTTCTTCCTTAAATTTAACCTCCAATTTCTACACTGAAGCAGCACCCAATATTCTTCTAGTAAAACCTGTAGCGGCTGGAGAAGAGCTTGTCCCCAGTGCCTGAGTTGATTAACTCATTCAATTATTTGAGTGCCTGCTTCACACAGCAAATGTGCCAGGCACTGAGTGCTGTTTCCTTTTGTTGGCTTGGAAGATATCTTTAGCCTGCTTCTCACACTTCTGTTCTCTAGGCTCAGCAATTTAGGTATTCTGGTCCTCACCTCTGGGACTGACAATATTTCCACTCTCCTTTTAAGTCATTCGACAAACAGGTTATTTAGTGACTAATTGTATGTCCAGACTCTTCTCAACAGGTTGAGATATGCCAAATTTACATAAGATAGAAGCCATAGTCTTTTTAGACAGGGTCTTGTTGGGCATGTTCTTGTTAGGTGAAAAATAGACGAGTAAAAATACATACAACAGCACGAAACAAAACTAGGAAGATCTCTGCCCTCTGGACGCCCAGGGTCTGAAGAATTTGAGCTCTGAATCTAATATGCTAACACATGTTGGTGGGCGTGTTCCTGCACAGGTCACTCTCATGCCCGTACCTCATCCCAGCCTTTTATTTTCCCTCCTTTCCAGCTCCATCCCGATGTTGTGCCCAGCTCAAGCTAAAGGTAAAGGTTTATTGATAAACTCAGATGAGTAAATGGTCATTATCAATTAAATACAAGCATTTCTGCAAAGAAGAGTTAGTTAAGGGTCGTTCGTGGGGATGCATGTTTTATGTTACTTTCCGTGGCTCATTTGACTAATATTCTGGCACTCAGCTTTTTTCCTGTGCCACATCTCAACAAATGGTCTCCGGTGTGCTATAATTCAGAGGCATTTTATTATAGAAGAAAAAGCATGAGCTTTGGGAAAATATAGTTGGGGATTTAAATCCCAAATACATGTACTGGCTGTGAAATCTAGAAAATGTTACTTAGCTTCCATAAGTCTCAATTTTCCCATCAGAAAAGAGGAGATACCTTCTGTCTCATGGAGGAGTTGTGAATATTAAAAATGAAAAATTACATAAAGCAGCACCCAGAATGCCAGCCACCCAGGTGATCCTCAATGTATCCTAATTCCCTACCTTTCTCCTTAAGGTATGCTGTGGCTGGCACTTAACAGATGCAAATGGAGGTGTGTTAGGATTGGCCATTTCCTTTTTCACATCTTTGCTCTTGCACCTGCTCCCACCTGAAGTGCCTTGCCCTACCACCTTTCCAGTGAATTCAAGGCCAAATGCAAGCTCCATCTTATTTCAACAAGCCCACCCTGACTGCTCTTGCTTCATTTCCCCAGTTCGATGCTCACACTCAACTACACTCTGCTCCCACTGATGTACACGTGTCTGCATGTCTGATTCTTCCACCAAACTATAGGTTCCTTGAAGGCAGGGACTAAGTCTATCATTACATTTCACCCTTAATTCCTAGCATGTGGCCTAATGGGTTGTGGCTTGGCTGTTTCATTACAATCGGAGGGGTCAAACCAGCTCTCCACCAGGATGGTACTGCCTGCCACCAAGACACCTTCCACATGGGGGAATCTAGCCTGCAGGATGGGGAATGTGGGGGTGGGCAACAGCAAAGTGTTTGCCTTCTCCACCTCTCTTCTACTGGATCCTAGCTTCAACATCACTTAACCACCATTTATGGCAGTCATTTAAGGAAGCTAAAAAATCCAGTTGAGCTTTTCTGAAGGCTGGAGGCCCTGGGGCTCAGCATGACTTCTTCTCTTTCTTGACCCAAACAAAACATTGTTACAGCAAACGTGAAGTCTTTCCTATTTTTCACAAATGCTCTCCAGGCCTAACAAAGCTAGCAGTCACCCTCCTTGAATCAAAATAAGCATCTGCCCTTTTTCTCTTTATCTTACACTTTCCCAGCATGTATTATAAGAATGCGATTATTTTACTAATTAATCCTATATTTTTATTTAACTTTTTTTGTGCAAAAGCCTGGAAAGGATGCAAAAATATTTAAAACCTTAACTTTAGTCTTTAATATTGATTAAACACAGAGGTGCAAAAAGTCCATATAACTGACTCTTACTCTTTTATGTTGTGTATGATTGTTTGAAGCATAAATGATAAAAACCTAAATAGTGTATAAAATCATAGGCAGCCTATGACAAAGGGAAACTGAGTCACATGTAGCTGTGAAGAGGAGAGGGTCATTTTTACTGAGCTCATATTTTTTTTGTTTGTTTGTTTTAATAAAGAAAAAACAGTCGGGCACAGTGGCTCACACCTGTAATCCCAACACTTTGGGAAGCCAGGGCAGGCATATCACCTGAGGTTGAGAGTTCGAAACCAACCTGACCAACATGGAGAAACCCCGTCTCTACTAAAAATACAAAAATTAGCTGGGCATGGTTGCAGGCACCTGTAATCCCAGCTACTTGGGAGGCTGAGGCAGGAGAATCGCTTGAACCTGGACGGCAGAGGTTGCAGTGAGCTGAGATCATGCCACTGCACTCCAGCCTGGGCAATGAGAGTGAAACTCCATCTAAGAGAGAGAGAGAGGGAGAGAGGGAGGGAGGGAGGGAGGGAGGGAGGGAAGGAAGGAAGGAAGGAAGGAAGGAAGGAAGGAAGGAAGGAAGGAAAAACCCTCATAGAGGAGATGGACCTTTGTTTCTGAAGCAGTAAGTCTTGTATCACAGACCACTTTGATAGCAGGAAGAAAGCCAGGACCCTTCTCTCTAAGGAAATATATACATCTACAGATTCACACATACTTACAATTTCAGGGAGCCATGGACCTGATGAACTCCATCCATAGTCCATGGTTCCTAATTTAAGAGCCTCTGAAGAACTGATAGCACATAGAAATAATTCAGAGAGAGCAGCAAGAGAGAGGTGGTGAAGTCAGAGATGGAGCACAAAGTGGGAAGGCCACTGAGCCTAGAGTCCCAGTCCAGAAATCTCACATTTGTCTTCTGCAATCCCACTTCTGTAGCTCTCATCCAGGCTATGGTAAGTCCATTGCTGGTCAGTTGTCATGGGAATGCAAACTGAAAAGTGTCACTGAGAAAATTTCTTTGTTTTTTTCCAGCTCCTCACAGCCAGTGACCTTGCAGCCAGTGACCTCAAAGGATTTCAGCCACAGGTAAGTTCCACTGATGCTCTTATGAAGTTTGGAAGAGTGAAATGCTCCACAGTTTAGTGGTCAGCAAGCACCCTTGGGGCCAGGACAGAAATCCCAACCTTGGATTTCTAGCTTCTTTCCCTCGAAATGCTAACTGTGAGAATGACCTGGTAGCTTTCTCTCCTCCTCCAGCTCCTCTCATTCCAGCATGGACAAAACCACCTCTTTTGGCTCTTTCATTCCTAATATTGTATAGTGGAAAAATATAGAGAGATCAAGATGCTCGGAATGTTAAGTGTTGGGGATTCAGCTTAGGAAAGGGTTAAACCAAAGGCGGCAGAGGGTGGGATGGGGTTGGGGTTCTCCCCTGTATTTCTCTCTTTTTGGACAGGACACTCACATTTCTGTAATCTTTGCAGCAAATGCCTCACAGTCAAGGCCTGACAGCCAAGTTAATCTCAGACTCCTGCAGAGGCAGACAGTTGAGGTTGGCTGATCTTGGTCAGGAAATGGGCCGCTGTTATCTCTGGCCAGAGTGGTGTTTGGAGGTTACTATGGGCAAACTGTGCGAGGGTGTAGGCAAGACCCTTCTGGAGACTTTTTTGCAGGGGTGAAGATGGACATCATCCTCCCTGTCTCTGGAAAAGGAGTCTACACACAAACATGTAAATACCAAGACACATACAAATCTCAGCTATACAAAAGCCCTTGTTTGCTCACACAGAGCCCAGTATAGGTAGAACGTGTACATAAAGAAAGATAAATCCAAAGGTGATCATTAGGGGACTCGGCCCTTGCCCTGTCCCCCTTGCAAAATGAAACTTTCTGTCACCCTTCAACTCAGTGCCTGCCTCAAGGTCTCAGTGCTGTACCTTTGTGGGAAAATACATTATAGCTAATAGCAGTGAACTTCCAGGTGTCAGCAAATACTTTTCTAATTGCAGGAGTTTCATATATTTGGGAACGTTTTCTTCTTTAAAGGTGTTTCACATTCAGGAGCCCACTGAACCCTCCCTACCCTTCTCCCAGGTGAGCCACATCCTGTGCGTACCCTTTCACTGCTGAGGAACCTGAGGACCCAGTCCTGATACACAGTGGCCCCAGATCACACAGAGAGCTAGGAACAGGTGACAGTGGGAGGCCAGAGGAAGAGAATTAACAGAATCAAGGGCTTCATTGGTGGGAATCAAAGATGGATTCACACACCAGCGTGGGGTGTTGTCATCTCGTCTTGTTGATCCTCCTGCCTGGAAAGTAGTGAGTTTTTAGACAGACGTGGCCAGTAAGCCTTTTTTTCAACCATCGAAAACTGTTAATTAATTACTTATTCACATGTTTACACAAACTTCCAGTTTGGCTAAGGGAATGTGAAACAAAAACAAAAGAAAATCCACATTTACCACCTACCCCACTCACCTCTGCACCTACGCTCATACATGGTGGCAATGCCAGCTAATTATTTTGTTTTAATCTGAAAATTTATAACATTAAAGAAAATTGTGTGGTGTCGTTTTACTGCCTGAAAAGGACACCCGTTAGAGACTGAGTTTATTGGAGTTGTGTGTGTGTGCGTGGTTTTGGCATGGTTTCCTTCTGAGCTGAACACGTTCTGTCCATGTTTGTTGACCTACACTTTTAGATATTAGATGTAAACTAATAGAGTGAACTTTCCAGTGAAGGAGAATTTAGATATATTTAAGGTTCGTGCATAACATTTGAGAGCATGATCCTAGAAAGACAGCTCCCAGGCTCCCCCACAGCCAGCCCCACAGCTTCCAGTGCAGATGGCTCGCTCCTCTGGTTCTGTTCAGCCCTTCCATGTTATTCCATTTGTGTGTCATCCCCCTGAGGCTAGAAGCATAAATACATATTTTTCACTCCTCAGGATGCCTGTTCTTGAGGCCAGGAAGTCCTGGGAAACTTGTAGCCAGGGTGTAATGCCCAGATCAAAGTTAATTCTCTAGTGAAAGGTTCAGATGTGTCTCTGGTCAACACCACCCTTTTGGGTGCTTTTTAAAACAGAAACAGAAAGCTGTCCACAGGCTTTGCACTGCCCCCTCCAGCCCCACTGCACCAAACCGCTGGCTTCTGTTGTTATTTTTCCCCTTCTCTCTTTGGGTTTTAGATGAAACTGAGTCCCACACCATAATTCATGGGTGTGTTCCCCTCCAGGACCCATCATTGACTGGCAGGAGGGGACTCCCTGAGGACCCCTCCCAGGGATAACTATCTGTCCCCTCAGCTTTTGCATGGTGCCCACTTACCACTTGAATGTAGAGGTTATCTGTTTGTTTTTCTTGATGCTTGTTCCTGCTTTAGACTCTTAAGGAAGATAGTTACAAAATCTTCGATGATTTTGAATGTGTGTAGAGTAGAGTCTGTATTGAGCTGGCTTTTCTGTTCATTTGTCTCTGTCTTCTCTCCGCATCCAGATGGAGAAGAGGAAGGTAAGGAAGTGAGGAGCTGCCTTTCTCCTCATAGTTATTGGTTACTAAAAATGCCATGCTCATTCCTGGAAATAAACACATAACTTTTCAAGATGAGCCTGAAAGCCCGTTTTTCTAAGGTATTATGTTTTAGCGGGGGGCGGTCTCCCCAGAGACTGGTGAGCCCGGCCTCTGGGCCACAGGGTAGAGCTTCTCCTAGAGTCAGGCCTGGTGCTGGTAGGCGGGTACTATTCTCAGCAAGTTTTAAAGGCACAGATGGAAAAGCTTCTCAAATTCACACCTAACCCACCCTGACTCTTCTACCTCCAAACACATCTCCTTTTACTTTCTAACATCCTGTTCTTGCCTTTTGAAGCAACAGACACACTTGAGTACCCTCCTTTCTAAGCCTTTGCGTTATTGGAAATGAGAGCCCTCACTCCCTTTTGTCGGACCAGTCCCCTCCATTCCTAAGAGGAGTAAGAGCTGACATTTAATTCTCTTTAGTAAAAGCCCAATAACTATATGCTTTCCTCTGCATTTTTCTTTTATTCTTTTTTTCCTCTAATATAAAAGTTGTAAGTGTCTATTGTAGAAATTTGGAATATACAGAAAACTATAAGAAAGAAAATACCCTAATGTTTCACCTCAGAAACATACACAATGACGTTTTGGCGTATAGTCTTCCAATCTTTGTTCTACATAGACACACACATCTATTTTTTTTAAATGGTCATATTTTATATGCTTTTTTGTTACCTTATTTTTTGTTGGTTTGCATGCTTTCCACAACACTGGAAAATCTAGCAGCTAGCCATGCTTGCAGTAGTTGTTAGTACTGTCATTCATTTACTAGTCCCTTCTTGCTGGACATCCCATTCCTTTTGCAGGCTGAGATCTCCAGGAGCAATCCGAGGCAAATGCTGGGATCCAGTGCCTTCATCCAGGATACAAAGAGCATCCAAGGCTTCTTGGCATTTATTTATTTATTTACTTTTATTTCTCAGTTCCTACAAGAATGTGCAGGCTGCTTAAACTTTGCAGTAAAGTGCCCGTGGGTGATGCCCATGTGCTTGTGCACATGCTTATGAGGTGGGGGATGTGGTAAGGAGATAGCCATAGCATGGGCACCAAATTCAGATGCATGTCCTACATGCCCAGCCACCGTGTCAGAACAGTGATGTGACAAAGAATGTCCCCCACAGAGGAAAGCACAGACTAAAGGATTTGGTCCTCACCTGCTACATAAACCCTCTGTTGTCTCAGAGAATAGGATACTTCCTTTAGGAAAAATGGAGTATTATTTCAAGTGCGGGGCAAATGTAGTGGTTGCCTATGAAGGGTGGCTATTTTTAATGAGTTTCTAAAATGTCAATTGCTACTATGGTCAAGGGCACGCTGTGGTGGGAGGTGAGAAGACAGTAAATCAGAACACACAGGAAAACATGTTTTAGTGCAGAGAAAACAGAACTTTCAGTCACTTAGTTGCCATTTCATTCAACAGATATCCATGGAAGACCTTTCTGTGGAGCTCCCAGCTATGCACAGACCCTTCCCCAGATGTTGATAGTTCTGGAATGTTCTGCCACCAATGTTAGCTTTGTGACCCTAATGAAGTTACCTAATGTCTTTCATCTAGATTTACTTTATTAAGCAAAGGAGTTGTGCAGCTTATTTCACAGAGAGTATGGGCATCGATGAGACAATGCATGTGAAGGTAGCCTTGTATGCCTGAAATGCACAGTGAGGTATTGTTTTCATCCACTAGAGAAGTGCAGAATAAATTAATTAAAAATTCAGATGTGGAAGATATTATATGTCTATGGAACAAGCAGGGAAGTCTTCCCAGCAGAGGTCTTGTTGTACCTGCCAGGATGGGTGAGAAGAAAGTGAGGCTGTGGACTTGTTCCAGAGCAGGTGAAGTGTGGATGAAGGCTGAGACCACAATGCGGTGCTTGGGTATGTGTGAAGACTTGGAGTAATTTAATTGCAGAGCCTCAGAGGAGACCATGGTGGGAAATTATATGCAAATTAAAATGGGGCCAAATTTCAGGTCTTAAACGTCTTGAAAATGAAATAATAGTTTTTTTTAAAAGTCCAAAAAATAAATTAGACTTAAAAATTAACTTTTATTTAAGTTTTCAAACTTACACAAAAGTTAACATAATAATGTAATAAACCTATGTACCTGTTACCCAGTTTCAATGGTATGCTGGTAACAAAGACTACATTTGTAGCATTTGGTAAGTTCTGTGATGTAAATATCTCCATCATAACCAATTTTAAGCTATCAGTGGTTTAGCCACCTGTTGGCAAAGTCTTTGACAGTCAGCTCTGCTCCCCAGCGTGCCACTGGAAGAGCTGTCACAATTGTTACCATTTTCCAAACTTGTCTATACTCTCATCTACTTTGGTTTTTAATTGTAATTATTTGGGGCTATACTTTAAAAGAAATCCTAGTCATTATGTTATTTCACTGATAAATAATTTAATTAACTTATCTAACAAATAAGGGCTTTTTAAGAACAATCAGAATGCCATTATCACATCTATCAAAATTACCAGTAATTTTTAAATGTTTTCAAATACCCAGTC